TACCGGGGGTTGAGTTTAGCGCCGACCAGTTTCTCTTTATTGCAGTGAAACTGAAGCTGTTTTTCGCCATTACATCGGTATATATGGCTGAAGGCCTCGTCTTCACACCAAAAACAGTCCACTGATTGTGATATACATTCGCCGCACGTCTTAGCGCTCAGACAGTGCTCTTGAAGTGCTTTTTAATAATAATTTATAAATAAATATCAATTATTTTATATAAATCTATAAAAATATTAATTATTATATAACTTAATTGTTTTAAATATTATGTTAAATTTAATAAAAATTAAGTTTATTTTATAGTTGAGCACAAATTGTTATACAAGTATTGTGTTAATAATTATGGCTATAAAAAAGTTATTAAGGTATGTTATAAGATAATTTTTACCATGTGATGTGTGTATGTGAAGATTACAATATGAAATAATTATTACAAGTTTTAAAAACATTTTTAAATAAATATTTTAATTACATTAATTTCAATACAAACTCATTTTATTTTTGTTTGTAAAATAGATTTAGTTTTGCTAACAGTAATAGTTTAGTGAAAGTCATATCCGAGTTATGTATAAATTGAAAGGAAAATTATATATCCGTTTGAAAACATTGTTTTATGCTATAAACTAAAATCATATTAAACTTTCAATTACTTTGTACAGTAGTTGAGTGTTGTTTTTATTTGCTATTTTGTTCAATTTACACATAAATCACAGTTAGTGTAGTTTTGATAACATTATTCAGTCTTAATTATTTATAAGTTTATGAGACTGAATTGTGTATAGTTCAAATTGTTTATTTTTACCTTATTCAATAATCAATGTAACTAACTTCATTATAAATTGATTCACTATAACAGAATCCAATAGTTTGTTAACATTTCCAAATAACTAAATATTTTACAAATTTAAATGGTTTTAATAAATTTTAAATAAATCTAAAATTAAAAATAAAATTACATTGTTCACATTAAAACTTAATTAAAACATAATATGTTTGACAAAATTAATTAAAATAAAAAATTATAATTGAGAGGATAGGGTTAAGGGGAAGAATATTTCACAACATTTTCTATCACATGGTTAGTACAGACAAAGACTTTTCCCGATATCCCAGAAGTATAGCCGGATTATCGATGAGTTTCTTCTTAATCATATCAATCTGTTTACTCCTAATGTCAGTCATTGTATGCAATACTATAAATGCAATTAAACTCAATTCAGTGCAAACGAAACACATGATGATTATCGACGACGGGTTAGTGCACAGATCGGACAGGAATAGGGGTAGTATTGCGGTACCGGCGCCCCCGGCCAACAGGAATAAACTCTGCAAAAGTAGAAATAAATGTCAAATTAAATATACTTCATTTGATTATAAATTGTCATCAAAATACTCACTCCAATTGCATTTGTGACAGAAATGTGGTGCTCGAGGAATGTATACTAAATATATTAAAATTGTAAATTAATTTCAATATACAGTTATTTCAATTTATACTAGACTTACAGCCGTGGCGTATGTGGACGAGAAGCCCAGCCCTATCAATGAGTTGCCCAACCATAACATACTGATATCGGTTTTGTAAAACACAATCAACACAATACTGCCCACGTTTATGATCGCGAAGTTAACGTAAATCATGTGTTGAGGCTTTAGTTTTGTGGACAAATAGATACAGATTAGACCGCCTAAGGCATAGGTGGCTCCGGTGGCCGTCTCCACGTACGCCGATTGCATGCCTTTATGTAATCAAATCA